GCTGCGGGCGATCTGATTCCGCGGAAGAAGTTGCTCGGTGCGCACGGGTCTGTAGCGAAATTGGACAACGGTGAAAATCATGATGAAAGACGTGTTTAAAAAATGTAAATTACGTTTTTCGCCATTAACTATTTTGTACGTATCAAACGCCCGAGGGGGAAATCACTCGCGTAATAGTCGGGTCACTGATTCCTAGTATTACGCGGAATAGTAATAGCGTAATAGTCAAATCTATTAAGTTTTCCCTATTTAGAGTCCGATTTTAGCCTAAATCTGGGTATTTTCGAGCGTAATAAGCCTTCTGTAATAGCGTAATAGAACGTAATAGGGAGTAGTCGGGTCACAGTGATTTTCCCCTCGCAAACGCCAATTTTGTAACGTTGTCGTTACTTATCCAAATAAAAACTAGATGCAATTTTCAAATTTTTGTGTTTAAAATTGCGTTTGAAGTCATTATCCGCCATTTCACTTTGTGGGTTGTTTTTCTTCTCGTTTTGTTTTTTGCTGCTGTGGAGAAGGGCACGGCGACAGTGAGTGCTCCGCTTGGTCCGCTGCACACGGCCTGTCATCAAGGGCCAAGTCGCGCCGCGGTTCGTGCCCGCGGGCCGCCCCGCCCCGCCCCCGCCCCGCCCCCCGCGGCCCGGGTCACCTGTGCACCGAGCATATCGGGCCGGGGGGCGGGCGGCCGGGCCGGGGGCTTTCTGAGGGAGCGGGGGCTCACTTTCTGGAAGTCTTTTCGAGATTTCAAAGCGCGATGCGCACGGCCGTGTCGTTGCGTGCCGCGCGCGCGTGCGCACCGCGTGCCCGGCGGCCGCCACACAGTGGGCCAGAAGACCGGTGGAGGCGGCCAAAACTCCGGACGCGTTTTGAGCTCCAGAGTCGCTAAACAGGACTCAAACTGAACGTGTGACCCCACCAATGGATTCCTCGTTCGGAGAGCAATCCATTGGTGGAGTCACACGTTCGGTTCGAGTCCCATTCAGCGACTCTGGAGCTCAAAACGCGTCTTGAGTTTTGGCCGCCTCCACCGGTCTTCTGGCCCACTGTGCGCCACGAGCCAGTAGAGACGGGAGGGTCTCTACGAGCCAGCGGGCTGATTCCGAGCACCATCGCTCTGTCTCTCTCGCACTCACGTTGCGGCCCGTTGTGGTGCGAGAGAGACAGCGACGAAGGCAGGGCTCAGAATCAACCCGCACGGCGCCACGGCCCCTCCACTCAATCGCTCTGGCTCCTCCGAATCATGGAGCTCGAGCCACTGCAGTCTGCTATCCTAGGGTTTTTTAAAACCATAATTTCGGAAAATCAGAAAGAAAATATGAAAGAGTGGTTTACTGAGAAAGTAGGTGTTGTATGCTGTCAGCGTGTTGTGGGTGCTGAAAACAGAGGGGTTTTACGTTTCGTGGTTTTGTTGTTTTTTTGCCAGTCAGGGCCCTTAAGATGAGTTTGAAATGGTGGACGTCGTGCCGGCCGCGCTGGGCTGCGCTCTAAGGGCTGCGCGCTCTAAACGGCAGCCTTATCGCACGCAAACAAGGTTTGGCGAGCACGCGCGCCCCGGCCGCCTCGCCCGGCCGTTTCTCAGTTTAATATTTAGCAAGAAAGAAATCTCGCGTGTGCTCGTAGTGTGGTGCACTGTGGTGTGCGCGCCGCCCGGTTCAGCTCTGGTTCGCTATCGTGGTCATCTGAGCCACACTGCTCCAGGCCAGGCAAGGCTGCAGGCCGGCCGGGTGCTTATTGTATGCTAAAGGCGCCGAGTGCGCGCGGGGCTCGCCGCGGAGCTGCCTCCGGGCTGCCGAGCAACTTGGCGAGGAAATTGCACGCGTTTTGGCGGGAGAAGGGAGTCCTGGTGCTCGTCGACGCCGTGGTCGTGGTGGACGCCGTGCTCGTGGACGACGTGGTGGACGCCGTGCTCGTCGACGCCGTGGTGGTGGACACCGTGCTCGTGGACGACCGTGCTCGTCGACGCCGTGGTGGACGCCGTGCTCGTGGACGACGTGCTCGTGGACACCGTGCTCGTCGACGCCGCCGTGGTGGTGGACGCCGTGCTCGTACGCCGTGGTGGACGCCGTGCTCGTCGACGCCGTGGTGGACGCCGTGCTCGTCGACGCCGTGGTGGTGGACACCGTGCTCGTGGACACCGTGCTCGTCGACGCCGTGGTGGACGCCGTGCTCGTGGACGCCGTGGTGAACGCCGTGTTCGTGGACGCCGCCGTGTGGTGGACGCCGTGCTCGTCGACGCCCGTGCTCGTCGCCCTGGTCCGCCTGACGCCGGTCGTGGGCGCGCGTGCTCGTCGACGCCGATCTCGACGACGCCGTGCTCGTCCACGGGCACCAGTGTGCCACATGGCCCACTACCAAAGGGTGGCGCGTTTTCCGCCATCTTCGTCGTCGCCGTGCTCGTCGACGGGCACTGCTTGGGGCTGCTTCGCACCCTGGCCTGGCGGCGCGTGGTGCTGCGCGGTGCTTTGCGCCTCTTTCTCCTCATTAAGTCCGCCACGGAGGAGACACGTGCCAAAACGCTCACCGCGCTCCGCCGAGCGTGTCCTGCCTGGCGTGCCTTGGCGTGCCTCGGCGCGGTGCGTGTACGCATCACCTTAGAGCGCGCTTCCGGCCGCAGGGCACCGCAGGGCTGCTCGTCTCTGTCGCACTCGCGGCCCGGCCCGCGGCGCCGCGGCGGTGCGAGAGAGACAGACGGAGCCCGCTGGGTAATAAGGGCGCATGGGGCGTCGCGGTCGCGTGGACAGGAATTAACGTACGTGCGGTGTGGAGATTCAGGGGTAGAGAATCTTCGCTGCTCGCCAGTAGAGAAGGCAGTTTAGATTTCGGGAAGATAGTGACAAAGAATCTTGGAAAAAGGCGGGGTAAGTGGCATTCCGAAATACGTAGTACGCTCTCTGACTGCTCGGCTCTGATCACGGACTTCCGAAACTCGCGCTGAAATTAAATCATATGGACACGGCAGGGCAATTTTAAAATACAAATTTCGCCGTTTCGCATTCCGCCCACACACACACACACACACACACACACGCACGTTCGGACACTGAAAGCTTCGCCTTTGACATGCCGCGGTCCGCGGTGCGTCCACGGAGCGTCCAGGAGGCCGAGACGGTCGGGGCCCCGGACAAAAAGGCCCGCGATGGACTAGCCGTCAAGCGCGTCGCGAACTATGAAAAACTCGGCGGTCGTTCATTAGTGTGCGTCAGCCGGGCGATTCAGAAAAGTCGTCTCGTCTCTCTGTCGCACTCGTGGGGCTCGCCATGAGGGTGCGAGAGAGACAGAGCGACGGAGTGATCTTCTGAATCGCCCCGCAGTCCGGCAGTCCCTGGCAGAGCAGTGCCTCCTCTCTGCTCTTCCTTACTCCACACAGTGGGCCAGAAGACCGGTGGAGCGGCCAAAACTCTAGACGCGTTTTGAGCTCCAGAGTCTCTAAATGGGCCTCGAACCGAACGTGTGACCCCACCAATGGATTGCTCTCCGAACGAGGAATCCATTGGTGGGGTCACACGTTCGATTCGAGTCCTATTTAGCGACTCTGGAGCTCAAAACGCGTCTAGAGTTTTGGCCGCCTCCACCGGTCTTCTGGCCCACTGTGCTCCACGCGGCGGAACGGGCAAAAGGCAAAGCCACGGCGAAGCTGAAAGCGCTTGGCCAGCCACGCGTACCAACACACTGCAACAAATGAGCGTCATCTCGGCCGGGCGTTTTATTTATATTTTTATCTTTTTTTTCCTCGAGGCGGGTCACGCGGTGGTGCTTTTCCAGTTTGTTAATTTGCCACCCTGTTTCTGCCGGCTGAGGCAGCGAAGCCGCACACGGGACAGTGGGGAAGAAGACCGGTGCAGGCGGCCAAAATTCTAGACGCGTTTTGAGCTCCAGAGCTGCTGATGGGAACCTAACTTGTGACCCCACCAATGGATTCCTTGTTCGGAAAGCAATCGATTGGTGAGGTCACACGTTCGGTTCGAGTCCCATTCAGCGACGCTGGTGCTAAAAACTCGCCAAGAGTTTTGTGGCCACCTCCTCCGGTCTTCTGGCCCACTGTGCGTGGAGGAAGATGCGTGTCGTAAATGTTTGCAGCACTGTTTCCGAATTCGGTGATCGGTGGGGTTGAGGCGGCGCCGGCGTGGCCTGACCGGCGCCAGTCGCGTGTGTGGACACGGCGCCGCGGATGCGTCCCGAACGCGTGCCGCGTGCTGCCCGACGGAGTCCACGGCCAGCCTTCCAGTGCCTCTCAGTGCCTTCCAGCCGTGCAGCGCCGGCTTTAATGATGTTTTGAATACAAAGCAGGGGGGAGGAATGGATTACAATCCAGACACACCGTTAGAAAAAAAAAACTCGATAAAAATAAAACTTTCTCGCAGTTTTTGACTGGCGGTGACGTGCTTTCTGCGCACCCTCGTCGTCGTCCCCAATGCCTCCTCGATAAGAATCGGCCCGCGGTTAGAAAACGCTATTTTGGGCCGGGTTCGATTGTGTCGGCGTGCCTGCCGGCCGAAGGGTGCTGCTGGCTCGGGGGCCGGGCGGAAAAGGGGAAATAATTGAGGGGACGCAATTTAGGGACAGCCCTCTGAATAATGTGGTCGGCCGCGTAGTGCCACAGAGAGAGAGAGAGAGAGAGAGAGAGAGAGAGAGAGAGAGAGAGAGAGAGAGAGAGAAGAGAGAGAGAGGGGCCCGTGCGGCCGCGGCAGCACAATCGATGCTGAGGTTGCCTTGCGCTGCCTCGTCGCGGGTTTGTTGTGCCCGGTTGCCTAGCAACGGACTCACCTGCACGGCGCTGCCCCGCCCGCCCAGCACACTGTAGCGTAGCAGTGTACTAGCGCCACCCCTTAATGCCCTTTCCAATTTACGACTGGATGCCTGCCGGTGTGCGTGAGTGCGAGAGAGAGAGAGAGAGAGAGAGAGAGAGAGAGAGAGAGAGAGAGAGAGTGTTTGGACAGGGCTGATCGAAATAAAAGTGGTCGCCAGCGCATTCTCACGGTGGTGTTTCGTCTTGGTTGCAGATTGGACGTCGTCGACGACGACAGGCAGGCCGGCAGGCAGATCGAGCCGGACAGACGACGCAGCCAGCCATCCCGCAGTGCCGGTGAGTTGACTTCTAGCGATTACAGTGTACATACAGGGTACATAGTCCGAAACACTCTGCGCCCATGTACTTAAAATTGAATCCATTTCGCCGCGTTTATCACAATCCGATTCAGCCGAGGCACGACGGCTCGCCGGGACTCCGGGACACGGAGGGAGAGAAGTCGTGCTTTTGTCATCAAAACGAATTCAACGCCGTCCTCTCTCTCCGCGGGCAATCCGCCGTCACGTCCGTCCGCCCCGTGAAACACTTCGGGACACTCCGCACAGAAAGAACCCGACCGGCTCCCGGAACGCCGGTCTAACACCGCGCCTGGCGATTTTAAAATTGAATTTTGGTTTTGGTCACGAGGGCTGCTGTGGGCTTTCAAATTATTTTTTGACGCTGTTTGGCGTCTGACGCGGTGCCTCCATTGATGCCTAATGGCATGAGGCATTCCATGGAGTCCAGGCGGCGCAGCGGCGCGGCTCTGGTGGTGCGGTGCGGTGGCCGCCTGGCCCCGGCCGTGGAGACAGTCAGTCATGGTTTTGACTGATGACGGCCCGACCACGGCCCGGTGGGTGGGGGCGGCGCACCGCGGCCACCGCGGCCACCACGGCGCCGTAGGCCGTTGCCTCCGGACATGGGCTGGCTGGAGGCGTTCGTCGCCGCACAGTGGGCCAGAAGACCGGTGGAGGCGGACAAAACTCTAGACGGGTTTTGAGCTCCAGAGTCGCTAAATAGGACTCGAACCGAACGTGTGACCCCACCAATGGATTGCTCTCCGAACGAGGAATCCATTGGTGGGGTCACACGTTCAGTTCGAGGCCTGTTTAGCGACTCTGGAGCTCAAAACGCGTCTAGAGTTTTGTCCGCCTCCACCGGTCTTCTGGCCCACTGTGCGCCGGTATCGCCGCCGCGCGCGCCGACTTCCCAACGGCGGCTTTCCCGCGCCGCGGTTTTCCCGGAGGTTTCCTCATCGCATTCGAACCCAAAGCTTTCCTCGTAAAGCTGGACGCGGGGCGCGGACGCTTCCCCCGCGGGTTTGGCACGCTGGGGATTTCGTACACTCCAACCTCGTGCCAAAGGTGGCGCTCCACACAGTGGTCCAACTAGTGGCGTTGGTCAAGGTCTCGGATGCGTTTTGAGCTCCAGAGTCACTACTAAATTGGACTCGAACCGAACGTGTGACCCCACCAAGGGATAAGGGATTGCTCTCCGAACGAGGAATCAATCCATCGGTGGGGTCACATGTTCGGTTCGAGTGCAATTTAGCGACTGGGAGCCCAAAACGCGTCAAGAGTTTTGGCCGCCGGCGCCGGTTTTCTGGGAAATCCACCGTGCTCCGTCAAATCGCACTCCTTGCTGGAGAGACACGTGGCGGCAAGGCGCTGGGCGGCGCGGACCGTCTGCCTTTATCTGTCTGTCTGTCCGTCTCTCCTCTCTCTCTCTCTCTCTCTTTCTCCCTCTCTCTCGCTCTGATTCGCTCCCGTCATCGCCGCTCCCCTCGCCCGCCCCCACCAGTGTACCGCCACGCGGCGCGTCGCGGCGCATGGTACCCGCGCTCGGTACCTCGGGTTCCACAGCCGGTCCCGAGTAAGGCGGTGCCTCGCGGGCCGGGCGCGCGCGGCCGAAGTTTGGCCGGACAGGCTGTGGATGCGGTTGCGGGCCGCGCGCGTCCTTGAGAGTCCACTCGGCCAAAGTTAGCCGGCGCGGGCTGCAGACTGATTCCGAGAGTCGTTTCCGTCGCTCTGTCTCTCTCGCACTCATGGGGCCATCTTATGGGTGCGAGAGAGACAGAGCGACGAAAGCGACTCTCAGTCTGCAGTGCGCTGTACGCGCTGCCTGTGGTCCCGGAAATTGAACAAAGCAACGGAACCCGCCGCGGGAACCCTATCCCGGGTGCCGCGGCGGCCTGCGCGCCGTCGTCGGCGTGGTAGTTGCCGTGCACCCCGTCTTCGTCTTGCGAGGGGGACGCTGCCGCCGCCTTGCCAGCCGCGCCCTGCCCGCCTCGGTCTCGGCCTCGGCCGCCGTGGGGTGGGGTCGGTGGGGTGCACCCGCTTTTCTATTCCATTCCTCGGTGCAAGCTTCGCGCTTCGCCCCGCGTGGCACCGCTTGGCACCCCGGACGCCAGCCGGCCAGGCGACCCTGCCAGAAAAGGCTCCGTTTGCGTCGTCACCGCACAGTGGACCAGAAGACCGGCGCCGGCGGCCAAAACTCTAGACGCGTTTTGAGCTCCGGAGTCGCTAAACAGGACTCGAACCGAACGTGTGACCCCACCAATGGAGTCCTCGTTCGCAGCGCAATCCATTGCTGGTCACTTGATCGGTTCGAGTCCCATTTAGCGACTCTGGAGCTCGAAACGCGCCTTGAGTTCTGGCCGCCCGCGCCGGTCTTCTGGCCCACTGTGCGCTGGCTGCTGGCTGTCGTTGGCGGTGTAGCCCTGTAAGGCCATGAGTCAGACCGGTGGGCTCCACGTCCACGGTCCACGCCGGGCCAGCCACAGTGGGCCAGCCTTCAGTCTCGGGTCCGCGAGCGCCGCGCGCCGAGCCACGCCACGCCAGCGACATAAAGGGAATAGAACTCATGATCGGTCATGCAGCCTCGCGGCAGTGCACAGTGCGCCAGAAGACCGGTGGAGGCGGCCAAAACTCAAGACGCGTTTTGAGCTCCAGAGTCGCTCAACAGGACTCGAACCGAACGTGTGACCCCACCAATGGACTCCTCGTTCGGATGGGGTCACACGTTCGGTTCGAGTCCCATGTAGCGACTCTGGAGCTCAAAACGCGTCCAGGATTTTGACCGCCTCCGCTGGTCTTCTGGCCCACTGTGCAGTGGCGGCCCGCTCGCGGTGTAGGGGCCTGGCGGGCCGGCGGGCCTGGCCGGCACCGCGCCGCCGAAATGCCCTTTTCTCTCGCGGTGCTGTACACTGTACAGTCAGTGCCAGGCTGGGCTCTCCAGCGCCTCGAGCCGGCCGCTGGGGCGTCTCTGGACGTCCTGCTGGGGTCTGAGCGGTGTAGCCCTGTAAGGCCGAATGGTCAGATGCGCCAGTCAGGCGCGGGGCCAGCAGTGGCGTGGGCAGTGGCCGCGGCGCCGCGCAAGGACCACGACGAGGAATAGAGAGGGTCCTCTCGATCCGTCTGATTTCCGATCCCGGCCGAAACGTGAGATTGCGGCAAAACTAAGAGTTAAAGATGTACGTACATCAGAGTCCTCCATTCGTGTAACGGATGTGCGGTAGCTGTCGTCGGCCTTGCGGCTGGGCCTCAAAATCGTCGAGAGATGACAGACCAGTCCGACGCTCGGGCCCATGGCAGTGAAAGCGAGAACGTGCGGTGTACGGCGTGCCCTCAGAGCGAGGCCAGCGCAGAAGCTGGCTACGCTACGCGCACGCCGAAGCCTGTTCGTCTCGCGGTTGCTGTCACTGCGGGTCATGCTTCTGCTCTCCACAAGACCCGTGCATAGGCGTTCGTTGCGGGTCGGGCACGGAGCAGGGTAACGCCGTGCGAGTCGGCGTACGCGGTAAGGGAAGGGACGAAGAAAGCTCGTCCCATGCGCGGCAAGGATAGTTACCCGAATGGAGGCTCTGTACGTACATCTTTGCTGGGGCTTGATTTTGGTTAGAACCCGATGGTGGTCCGAGAGTGGTGCGAGGCGCGGTCAAAGTCCCGGACGGGTTTGGAGCTCAGAGTTGCTAAATGGGACTCGAACCGAACGTGTGACCCCCACCAATGGATTGCTCTTCGAACGAGGGATTTATTGGTGGGGTCACATGCTTGATTCGAGTCCTGCGTAGCGACTCTGGAGCTCAAAACGCGTCTAGAGTTTTGGCCGCCTGCGCCAGCTCTCTAGTCCACTGTGCGTCCGCGTGCATCAGCAACGGTCCGAGAGTCAGATAAAGAGAGAAAGACAGAGAGATGGACGATGGCCGCGCTGCTCACGCATGCAAATTGAATCCGCGAAGTGTGTAATTCTCTTTCTCTAATTCCCTGGCGACTGATGGTGCCGCCTTGGCCGCCCCGCCGGAAGGGCCCAGGGCGGCGCGGGGCGCTCCAAGGGCCGGAGGACACGGCGACGTGCACACCGCGAAACCGCGAGCAGCGCGGACTCGTTCCGAGAGACTGTCTCTCTCGCACTCGTGGGGCGACCCCGTGTAAGTGCGAGAGAGGCAGAGCGATGAAAACGACTCTCGAAATCAGTCTGCAGCGGGCACCAGGCGGGCACCGCGGAGAGGAAGAGCCCACCGGCCTGGCCGCCTAGCCGTGGAGGTGGGGGTGGTGACCGCCCTGCCAGTGCCCTGCCAGTGCCCTGCCGCACTGCTGGAGCCACATCGCCACGTCCATGGCGTCCATGGCCCATGGCGGCCCATGGCCCTGCCAGGGCCCAGCCCCCACTCACTCATCAAGCTATGACGGAGTTTTTCTTTTTCCCTCGGTTTTGTTTGTGGTGATGGCCGGCGGCTCGGTTTCCCACCAAGGGCGCCGCGCCGCGACGCGCCGCGCGCGTCGGAATTTTATTGGCTTTTGTTGCACTGGTGCAGCGTTAGCTGAGGTGTGCTGCGTTGGACGCAGCGGACGCAGTGACGCAGTCGCCGTGCGCTGGGCCAGTTTGGCGGCGATTTTCGCGCGCCGCGCTGCGCGTTTTGGTTCTGCCTGTACCCTGCTTGCTGTGGTGCTGTAACGGTGGTGGTGGTGGTGGTAGTGGTGGTGGTTTGTGCTACTGGATCTACAAAGTACAATGCCTCCCAGAATCGACCCTCGAACAGCAAAGGAACGGGGATGGCGGCGGGCCGCTGGGGTAGAGACGCTGGGGCTCACCTGGGGGAGGCAGCCCCCCACCCCTCGGCTAGGCAAGGCGGGCCCCGACCGGTACTGTACAGTACGACACGCCACACACACACACACACACACACACACACACACACACACACAGGCACGCACAGACTGGCCGCGCAACTCTGGCTCTAAAACATAATCCTCCTGGAGATGGAGTACTATCTCTCGGTGCAGTGTAGCAGGTCG